ACAGTTTATAAGTGATATAAGCGTCTGAGTGATTATTTTATAAGTGGATTGTGGGACTGTGGGGCTTGGTGGAGCCTGGAGAGAAGCCCTCCAGCAACACCAGCCCCAGATCATGACACAGAGACTCATCATTAGTCACCAATGCTCGACCTAGCTTAGGTTTGTCCCACAGGCTCTTATAACGTATGTTAACCTTTCTCTTCATCCACGTTTTTGCCTTGGGCCTTTTACCTTTCCTGCTGTGTGTCCTACTCTGCATGTCTGGCTGGCCCGCCGGCCCCAGCATCCCCCCCCTTACTTATTCTCTCTGCCCGCCGGCCCCGAATATCCCTCTGCTAGCTATTGGTCAATCAGGTGCCTTAGGCAGGCAAGGTAACACAGCAACACATTTTTACATAATTAAACAAATGCAACGCATCTTGACATTATTAAACAGAGGCAGCATAAACGGATGTAACACATCTTTGCCTAAAGTAATATTCCCCAACACGGTGGGCTGGTCTCAGATCACTTAGTTTTAATCAAGACAGCTGCCCACAGATAGGCCCCCAAGCCGACATGTTCTAGATGATTCATGGAGACACTTATTAATTAATTAATTAATTAATTAATTTATTTATGTGTTTTTTTTTCAAGTCAGGGTTTCTCTGTGTAGCCCTGGCTGTCTTGCGACTCACTCTGTAGACCAGGTTGGCCTTGAACTCATGGAGATCCTCCTGCCTCTGCCTCCCGAGTGCTGGGATTAAAGACGTGGTCACTACTGCCCATGGGGCTTGTGGTGCTTTCAGGCCAGCCTGGGCTCCACAGTGAAATAAGGAGAGATAGCGCGCGCCTTTGATCGCAGCACTCGGGAGGCAGAGGCAGGTGGGTCTCAAGGTTTGAGCCAGCCTGGGCTACAGAGTGAGACCCTGTCTGGAAAACATAAAACAAAAAGCCCATACATTTCTTGCAGAGGCTTGGACAGCTCCCGGCCCGGCTGGGGGGGGGGGTGTCCAACGCTGTGGTGTCTGCAGCCCCGGCACCCCGTGCATGCCCCCCCGCCCCCCGTGCACGGCCCCCCGCACCCCGTGCACGCCCCGGCACCCCGTGCACGCCCCCCCGCACCCCTTGCACGCCCCGGTACCCCGTGCACGCCCCGGTACCCCGTGCACACCCGCGCACCCCGTGCACTCCCCCCGGACCCCGTGCACGCCCCGGCACCCCGTGCACGCCCCCGGCACCCCGTGCACGCCCCCGGCACACAGACACACGTGCAATTAAAAACTGAAGACGAAGCCGGAAAAAGGCATCAAATTCAGAAGGAAATGGCTGAGGTGGATCGCGCAGGGGGAGAGCACTCGCTGCTCCTGCACGGAAAGCGGGATGGGCCTGCGCTCCGCATTCCCGAGGTGGATCGGGGTTCGAGGCCAGGCTGGGCGGGCGAGGCGCGGTCGACACTGAAGAGAAAACGAGAAAAAGGAAAAAAAACCAAGTAAACAAAACAAAAAGAGCACAGCAACTGCTGGCAGCTCCGACTCGGGGCCGCGACGCGGGGAGCCGCACCACGTGACCCGCCCGGCCCACGTAACCCTCGCCCACGTGATCCGCCCCGTCCCGGGTCAGACTGACTTCCGGCCTTCCGGCCGTCTCCGAGGTCAGTTTCTCCGACGACCCGGTAGTGCCCACCTCCCTGTGGCATCACTTCCGCGCCGCGGCCTCGGCGGCGCTCAGGCGCACGCGCAGAACGCGGCCGCGGAGGCCATGGGCTCCTTCTGCGCAGGCGTGCTGGGCCCGAGGGCG